ATACTTTGGACAATACTGGACTTGAGATAAACCTTCAGATAATATAATGAGAAAAGAGAAATGGATATAGTCATCTAAATCCTCCATATGTCTGAGGAAGCAAACTCTCCAAGAATTATCCAGGGCAAGGCCAGGACACTAGATACTTGAGGTAGATATAGAAATTGAGACTTAGCTTTCTGTTAAATGATACCTCTGTGGAGTTTTACAAAATAATGCTGGTGTGAAAGGTATTTTGGGGAGTCATCATTACTTTTCACTACTTGAAAAGTAACAATTACAGGTACATTTAGCATTCATTATATAGTTATAATAGTATAAATGATTCTGTCAATAGATGGGAAAGAGTAACAATGTAAAAAATGAAAGGTTAAGAGACTGTAAGAATTGATGTTACTACCTGAAAACAAGAGACGTGAGAGTGAATAAAAATATTTTTCATTTCCCTCTTACTAAAATGGAGAGTATTTGGAGGGGTTATTATGCCCAAAGTAAACATGCTTTGAGAGGTCTGGGGGTGATTCCACTTGGAAATGTTCATCAGACTGTTGGAGACACAGTGTTTGTAAACACATAGCCATTTTAAAATTTAGCTCTAGAAATTAAATCGGGCTTTGTGATCAGGAAAAGTGCTATATGAGTCATTGAAATATCAGCTGGGAGAAAATACCCAGAGGAAGTTTTGATTCAGTAAGAAAGAGAAAGGGAGAGATGTGTTGTGTTGTATATCAGTATTTGAACCCCTATTTGGTAGTAGGTAAGATAGCTGTTCTCAGAAAACAGACATTAAAATTAAGCAGGGAGATGTGCAACTTGCTTTTTGGTTAAATGGATATTTGATTCAAAAGTCTGTCATTGGTTTGCTAAGGTAGTATTTCCACATTGGAGTAAACAAATTAGTCTCTGAACTTTTACAGCAGGGACATTCTGGAGGCTGGGAAGGTAGGGGAGACACATTTGAATGCAGTGATAACTGGAAACTGAGAAGGTCGAAGAGAGGCTACCCCAGTCCCATGGCTGTAGTGTGCTGTGTTCCTGGATGCTACATCACACAGTTCAACACTGTGACTGCCTCTTCTAGCCTGGAAACTCTGAAACTGCTCACCTGCTTAGTTTATGTTCTCTTCCCAGCATCTAACAGCACCTGATAAATGGTAAATAAGACTTAATTGAATATTGTGTTAGTTTCTGGTCTCATAGTTAGAACAAATTCCTGACAAAACAACCCTAGGAAGGGAGGGTTCTTTTGTCTCTTGGTTTTAGAGTACATTCCATTATGGTGGAGAATTCAGGCCATTGGCCGTAACAGGGTGGGTGCACTCACTAGCATGTGATGGAGGGTGAACAAAAGTAGCAGAACACTTTTCCTCATGGCTGATGCCAGAAGATGCTGCCCACTTTTGGGGAGCTTTGATCCACCTCGGTTAATCTCCCAGGAAGTACCCTTACGAACATGCTCAGATGGGTTTGGCTCAGTTGATCCCAGAGTTCATCAACTTGAAAGGGAAAATAACCATAACAAATGCTTAGTATCTACAAAGTGTCATTCTGGGAAATCTAGAGAATAATAAATGTATCAAACAGAAAATAGGTTCCCGGTACTCTAATAATTCGTAAAACCTACACTGATATGAGATTCTTCATTTGATGGGGAGTTTGTGTATGAAGACTAAGGGAACAGTGAGCTGGAAATCCTGCCTTTTGAGAGGTTTGAGATAACACAGATCGCCTCACAGAGAAAGCAGAGAAGGAATCAATATTTTAAATTGCCATGAGCTTTGTTCGGACAGATGACCTAATGGACCAGAATGGATGATACTTAAGAAAAGTTGAGTACCACACAGTCACATGGAAAGAGAACACTGAGAACATGGGATGGATGCATATGTGCCTGCCTATGACTGCCTGTGATTGTCTCTGAACAGACAAACACAGCTGTCAGAGCCACAAGTGTGGGAGAATATCTTCCCAAGGCTGTAGTGCTGCTGCTAAGCATAGGCCTGAGAATCCACTAAAGGCTGCAGGAATAAGGGAAATTAAGCTTTTGACTTTTTGAGAGCTGAGTTGACTTTTGAAGTAGACAATTGTGGCTTTGTTAGTATTAGTATGTTTAAATATATAACAGAGGAGGCTGGAGGGATGGATCAGTAGATAAATGCTTGTTGTACAAGCGTAAGGACCTAAGTTTGTATTCCCAGGACTCCTACAAAAGCTGGGTATGGTTGCACAGTCTAAAACCCTAAAACCAGTGCAGAGCAAGGGGAAAGGAGTTGGTGAAGACAGGCATATCGGAGAGCTCAAAGGCTAGGCTGTCTAGTAAGTTGGTAAGCTCTGGTACAGTGAGAAGACCCTGTCTCGAAAGGTAATATAGAGTATGATAGTGGAAGGCATCTAATGCTACCTTTTGGTCTCTACACACACAATCACAAAGAGGACACACATAGACTACGCATGCCCACTTATAGTCACATGCACAAATATGGATAATTATGTATAGTCATATTTATTTAATATGTATAACCAAACATATAAGTGAATATATGTTATATGGCATACATCTACACACACACACACATACACACACATTAATAAAGGAACCAGATTTCTAGAACAGTAGATATGCTGCCATTTATAAGGATAAGGGACCAGAACTCTTAGCAGAAAGTGGCACTGAAATCAAGACAATTTCATAGAAACGACTGGAAGGAACCTGACTGAAGTGGAGGCAGCATTAAGCATGAGCTCACAGTACAGCAGATGCTTAGACAGGTATAGTTTAGTTTTGTTATTTTGTTTGAGAATTATGAAGCAGAATTGTGGGCAAGGCCAGCTATTGAGGATGATCTGAAAGAAAGATTGGTTGAGAACAGCCTTTCTGCTGAGGTGACCACTAAAATAAATAAAGACGGTGGAGGTCTGGGAGGAGAGGAGCCAGAGGTCAACCCAGAGGAGCTGTCACCCCACTTATTTGGAGAAAGGAGGAAGCACCAACCTCCACAGCAGGGGTTTAGAGGAGAAAACAGTCAGTCCCAGTGTTTGACAGCAAAGAGAGAGCTGGGACTGAATGTGAGAATTTGTTTTGAAACATTGCCCTTAAGACTTCATATTTTCTGATAAAGGAAGTTTTTTTGTTGTTATCTAGTTCTGTGACAGCCTTCTAATGTAGACATGGTTCATTTATCTAGCTTTACACTATTGTTCTGCCTTTTCTTTTATCCCCAAAAACAAAGATCTATAAAGAACATAATTTTGAGTTAAAGTAAAAACCCCCTCTTCCTTTTTCTAGGCTCTGTGGCAAGTGCTTTTAGAAAACAGAGATATATTTGTGTCTCTAAGCTTAGAGTTCTGATTAATGGGCATGCTGGCATATTTCCCCTTCCTTCACCTGCTGGCTAGCTCAGCTCTGGGAAATCTCTTCCGGTCAAATTAAGGGTAGAGGACAACGTATAGTGCCCCAGGAGACAGCTGTATATAACTCCCATTTAAATGCCACCAATGAAAAACTTGCCTTGGTTTAATTTAAAGCATTTGGTTAAGGAGAGAGTTACTTTATAATTGAATAACACTGCTTCCTTCCTATCTATCCCATGGGTATGAGAGTTAAGAACTAAAACAATCTAATAAGATAATATTTCAAGAGCATATAGTACTTCCCCTTCCATACACAGAGCACTTTAAATCTAATGGGAATTGTGTGTGCAGATGCCATGTAGAAATGCAGGACGTTAGGCTTGGAGAAGAAGGGCAATACAAAATACAAACACAGAGTAACCAGAAGAGGCATAGGCTTCTCTTTTGCGAAATCTGTTTCATAGAATGCTGATGGGTTGTTTTCTTGTGGCACAGGTGCTCACGGTACTGCAGTCCATCTTCGTTACCCATATGTAAAATCGCTCAAAAGCTACAAGGGCTTCCTGTGCGACGCAGAGGCCAGATGGCAGTTTGGGGCTATTTAGTTTATCATCTGGCTTCTAATGTTGGAAGAGGTTGCTGCAAGGAACAGAAATTTTAATTCTCAAACCGTTGGTATTCCAAAAGGTGCAGATAGGCTGCTTCTGCATGGAAGGTGTTTTTATGTTCATAGCGTGGTTAAACGTGTTCCTATACAGCATTCCTCCTGGCACGATGACAGGCATTTAATCACATAGTGTGCTCCATCCACTTATGAAATACTGTGTAGCATACAGCCAGATTTGCAGCTCTACTTGTCCTGTGGATGGTGCACTTAGATTTCACCAAGTGCTGCTTCCGTGTTCCAGTTCCTCAGACACTTTCCCACTCGCCTACACCCCGGAATCCCACTGCTCTGAGACTTAGGAGACGATTTGTGGAGGATGACATATATGTCTGTTATTTATCTCTTGTTCCATTCGCTTTCTTGTGGAAGTGCTTGGGCCGTTTCTGAGCATAGTGCTTTTCTTTTTTCTTTTTTTCTTTTTCTTTTTTGACTAGGAGCATGCCCTGAACTTCAAGTGCTGGTAGAATTGAGAGCATCATTTTTTCTTGAACTCTCCAATACTTTACTTTTCTCACCTTCAATTTTATACTGATTATATATCTATCACCATTCTGAGAAAAAAATTGATTTTCATGCCTAGTGTTCTTTGCTAGGCAGAACCTCTGAAAAGAGTGCCTGAACCCGGGGGGTTGCCTTTTGTCCCCAACTTGGTTCAATTTATTCTTAGCCAAGTTGTTAACTTGAAAAGAAATTCCTTTGGTTCCTATACCCATTGCTATGGTCAATTTTTGTACCTATGCTTTTAATAATGGCCAGTATTGTCCCTACAGTGCTAGGCCTTCTCATTTCCCAAGCTCTCCTGAAAATTGTTTCAGAATCTTTTATAGATACTATTCTATAAGCCAAGATGACATTTTAAGCTACTTACCATAATAAGCCTGAAACAAAATGCAAGTTTTGAAAAAACATTTAACCTTGCTTTCCTCTCACAAAACAGTGCCTGGTTTCTCCTTAGCTACCCGAAAAAGAATTGGTAACTTACCATTTATCTTTCAACCACTGATAGTCTGGGCTCCATATTAACATTTATGAGAACCAATTTCCAGCATGGCCATGGATGTCCATAGTTACTGACTTAAGTGTTACTTCATAGCACTTCTAACTTCTGCTGTTTGTCCATTCATTATCACTATGTACTTCACTTGAGAATCTGTGTCTCCCTTGTATTCAGTGATGGAATGCACTAGAATGAACCTTTGACCTTTGCAGTCATGGAGACCTACCTTTCTATTCTGGTCTCCAAATGTATATGACCTTAAGAGAATTACTCAGTGCATTTAGGGCTGGTTTATTAATCTGTAGGAAACAATGGCCCTTGACAGGTAAACTGTCAACATTAGAACTCCCATAGAACAATGTGAGGTGCACTCTCACCCTGAACTATTGGGGAAGGGTCTAGGCCCTGCCCTATATGAAATGACAGACTATGGACACCCCCATGGAGGGCCTCACCCTCCCTGGGGGATTGAGGGGATAACGGCGGGGGTTTGGGGGGAGGGCACGGAAGGAGGGGAGGGAAAGGGAGAGGGACCTGGAACTGACTTGTGAAGCAACCTTGTTTCTTATCTAAATTTAAACTGGAAAATAAAATAAAAAAAACAAAAAAACACAAACAAACAAAAAAGAAATTGTGGATGTTTTGGTGAGAAAGTTGTCTGTACAGGTGAAGAGCTCAATTAATATTTGCTGCTTATGAAAGTTACTATTGTCCAAACACCCAATTGCTACCACCATAATCATTATCACCAATACCATCTCCTCTTGAAAATTACTTCTGCAGTCATGCTCTTGTCAACTTCACCATAAATTATATCAAGGCTCATTGTAGTCCTGTTCATATTGTTAATTTTTCCATCTACTTCATCAGCTTCTGGTATAATAGCAAACTACTCCTATAGCAAACACAGCAATAAAAGTAGCTTCATTAATACCACTTTCCTGTGAAGACAGTTGTAATCCATTTCCTCTCAATACATCATCAGTGTTATCCAGACACCCTGTCTTTATTACTAATATAGCACTCCATATACCCCATGTTTAAGCCACCTTGGTTATTTGCCTGTGGAGAAAAATATACTCTGTACCTGCAGTCTTGCTGAATTATTAACATTCTGAAGTTATTTTACAGCCCCCATTTGGAAATGAATGATTGCATATACCTCTCACTGTGTTCATTCAGCATTTTTTTATAACATTTTGGCATTTACACTGTTCTGCTTTGTAACATAACAAATTGCTGCTCTGTCTGCTATCCTTCTCCTAATCCTATTAGTAACCTTAATGTAAATACATTGTTTCATTCAGTTTTCTTTAATTAGAAGCCTTTTGAACCTCAAAGATGCTTCCTGTGTAGGACAGTTTCATACACATGCATAGAAACACAATCCCAAAGGGTTTTAAATGTAACCTGGTTGTAGACTATGATAGGATGATGATGAATGCTGTGATCTTGACCAGGCTTCACAGATCATTCTGGAAGATTCATCCCTGATAAAGAATTGTGCCACAAGCATGTTCATTGACAATTTCTTTATCTGATGAGAAGTAGGAAACACTGAAGCCCTTTGATAGTTAAACAATGGTTCTTGATTTACCAACATAGAGAGAATCTACATAGAGCTCTTCACAGCCATAATTTTATTCCTATGTTAGAGTCACATTACAGATGGAAAATTTTATTTTACAGTAGTTCAGTAAATTTGAGATTTTTTAACTCAAGAATGCTTGTTATATACCTGTGAAATTTATGATTTTACTCATTTGAAAGTTAATTCATAGATCTTTCTCTAAAATAACATTTCCTTCCAATTCGCTATGTATCTTTTCTATAATTTTTGTCTCAGTTGACGGTATAAATACCAAGATTCTGCTCCTTTATTTGTAATTTTTTAATTTAAAAAATCTAATTACTGTGTGTGCATGTGTAAATGTGGGTGAGTGTGGAGGTTCAAGAACGACTCTGTTGTCACTTTTGCCTGTCCACATCTCCATGGTTCTGGGGATGAAATTCAGATCATTGGACTTGCATTTATGGGTTGCAAGCACCTTTACCCAATGAACCTTCTAGTTAACCAATCTTATTGTTAATACATTAACAATGTGCACATCCTCAAGCCGTTGCTTTCTTTACTCTGGAATTACTTCATATTCTGACATGGCCTAATAGTCTAAGAGGTGGCCTTACAACGTGTTTATATGGACTAATTATTTTGTGTCCAGGATATTTCCAGAAAATGTATTTGCTTATTATGAAAATTTTATATGGAAGTTAAATGTAAATATATATAGAGTAACTTTGTAAAAATAAAAATCTTCTTAGTATGCAAAATATAAATTCTGTCTTGGAAAAAAGAAACTATGCCAACTGGGAGTCAAAAAATAAATAACATTTATGGTAGAAAAAACAATAACAACAAAATATTTTATAAGCATTATCATTTTTTAAATAAAATGTAGTTAAGAAAATCTCATGAATTTTTATTCAGTAACTAAAGTAACATCTTCATTGTTTGAAATTATTTTTTTAAAATTAGATTGAGTATCATTGTATGCCTTTAGTTTTATTCAAATGAATATATCCTTTACTTGGAAAATCTTATTTAATTATATAATTTGGTCAGTGGACCCATTATTTTCTATTACATCTTGTTTTAAAACATAAGATAGAAGTAGAAGCAAGAAAATAAGTATATATAAACATTACACAAGTTAATTTATACTACTTATTATATAAATACTGATTTATAAATTTAAAACAAGGGTAGCCATTTATACAACACACATACACAGAGAGAGTGAGAGCCAGAAAGAGCTCTCCCATAGGAGTGGTTGTCATACGATTGAGTAATGGAGATTAAATTCTGAGGAGTTAGTTGAATATATCTTTTCCTAAAAGAGAAGCTAAAATTCATTTAAAACTAATTAGAAGTGTATAGAAGGCTAATTTTGCATGTTAAGCCTTATTAGAGTGAGATAAGTAATTCATAAAGAATCATAACATTTCTCTGGACAGAATCAAATAAAATGACACTACCCAGCCTTGTGTCCTAATAAATTGCAGAGTACAAAAGCAAATCAAGGCAAAAATCTCAGGTCCAAGTCATCTTGCCTTTTGTTAGGGGAAAGCAACACACATAATGCCGACACAACTCTATTAAATAGTGGCTCCTGGCAAAGGTTTCATGAAGTAGCAGCTGTCTGTGCAGGTGGACCGCCTCCTATTTAGTATCTGAGCTAGAGAAAATCATGCCATTTGCCAGGATAAATTTACCCTCAGTGAAACATAACTGGGTATGAATTCTTCCTAGATTCAAGCCCAATTACTGAGCCTGCAACAGGACACTATAATAGCAGTATGTCCAGCTCTCTGAGTAAATCTGTCAGCTGCATTCGACTGCAATTTAGATATATGGCATATAGTGGGAATTAAAGAAAAACAAATACTATAATTTTTATTTTGCTAAACTTAGAATCTGTATCTTATATTAGCATCATTTTTAATCTGCCCTTTAGCTAAATAGCTTGGTTATTTCCACATTGGAAAACTTAAGTTCTTTTGACATCCTTTCCTGTTACCTCCTACAGTGGGTGTTCTCACTTCTCCTTGGTTGTCCTAATAGACAGGACATCTGCTGATTTCTGTAAACAATAACATAATCCCTTTGGTTCCAGCTCAGCTCACATACATTTAAGGCAGTGAAGAACAAATAAGAGAGACAGCAAGAAGATGGGAAAGGCAGACAGTGCTGACATTATACTCAAACGAGGATAAGGTGCATAGCTAAGTTCAGTTTAAAATAGTAGTATGGCTGTGTTCTGTAAAAAGATAGTCTTAGAATGAACAAATCTTTATGCTGTTAAGTATATAGTAAAATCATGAGTTACCTATTAATATAGCTTAGATTTCATAATCCAGAAGGGAAAGCAAAGAGATTGCATATGATTAGCTCATACAACCATTCTGTTATGTAAAGTGATATCGAGTAAGAAAAATCTATGTGTAAATACATTGCCCTCCGTATTTTAGAATACCACTCATGCACTAAAATTCACAGTTCTACTTCCATAACAGTGTGTGTATGTTTTCTGAGTGATGTTTTCAGATAAAAAGGGATCAAATTGTTTTCTTAACAATTTGGAAAGAGCCAGAGGTCAATGGGTACAAATATATTTCTGAACTTCTCTTGCTCAAAATGAAGGAAGTCTTAGAATCATCATTGGGAGAGAATGTCCCAGATTTTTAATGACTTCCTGTTGAAATTAACTGGAGCTAAAATAAAAAGCATGCCATGGCATATCTTCATGCTTTCAATACGATATTTTGAGTTACTCAGGCTGTATTCATTTTCAACTGACAACCACAGTCTTTTATTATCCTAATAGAATGAGAAAAAGAAATCTACATACTTTGTTTCTCCTGGTTTATATACAAACCTCGGTAATTGGATTCTGAGACTTCATTCTCATTTTATCCCAGGGCTCTTATTGATTATTTGGCCAGGGAGAAAGGACTCTGGAAGGGATACATTAAGGGAACAACAGTTCTGTCTGATAAGTGCTGGCCAAAATCACTGATGTTGTAATTTTAGTAATGTACATCTTTGTCTCCAGATAGAGGGCTGGCAGAATGCAGACCGTCTTCTCTTCGTGTTCTGCATTTTTTGTTGCCTTACTTCCTCTTATTAGTGTCTGGAGTGAGAGTGGGGAAGAAAAATGTGAGGTGTGATGGGGCAGAGAGATAGACAGACACAGAGAGATACTGAGTCGGTGTCACAGAGTCAGATTTGAATAGTTGGGAAACATCCTGTTTTCCATGTGAGTGACATGTACTAACTCCATCACTATCTAGGTGAAACTGCCTACAATTTAGGTGAAATAATTTTATCTCTATCCAGCTAATAAAGAAATAACTGGCCCAACAGTTATTTAAAAGTACTTGGACTCTATTTCTGTCACTTGAATATACCTATGCTGTATTCTAAAACTGAGAAACTGCTCTTAGTTTCAAGGACATGGTATCACCTAACAGCAAATTCTGATCCCCTTTTTAAATTTTTATTTCTTTCCTTAACTACTACCTACTATTATTAGTAGATAAGGGGAAATGTAATTTTTTTTGGAACTAGGAAACTACAGTATGGGGGAGGTTTGTCTGGAGCCCATACACTGGAATCTCTCAGAATGAGCTACAGTTAAGGTGTCATGTAAACAGACACCACCATGCTGTCAGCACTCCTGACTTCTGTA